AAAAAAAAAAAAAAAAAAAAAAAAAAAAAAAAGAAGAAAGAAAAAAAGAAGGAAGGAAAAAAAAAAAGAAAGAAGGGGGGGGGGGGGGGGGGGGGTGGAGGAGGAAGGAAGAAAGAGGGAAGGAGGAAAGAAAGGGGGAGGAGGAAGGAAGAGAAAAAGAGAGGGAGGGAGAGAAAGAGACAGGGACTGGAAACGTTTTCTTCCTGTCTTTTCCTCTCCCTTCCACAATACAAAGGAAATTTATCTCTACTGCATATACTGTACATGCGCACAAGCACACATAAATGTACAGGCACTCAACTGAATCTTGATGAATTTCATTTGACATTAATACTGCTTTACTGACAGATCTGGAAGGGCAAAGAGGATTGAACATATGGTTGAAGGTAGCAAGGGACAGCCAAATTAGCTGTGGACCAAAGCAATTAACCTCTTGAGTATGTCAAGTTTTATTTATATGTAAAATGTTCATCCTGCTTTGAAGTTTGCAGGTAGCATGCATCTAGCATTTGGTTTTGGGAGTATTCTTACAACAGTCCTGTGGGGCAGCTTTGCTAAGAGAGTGTTTAAATGGGCCATTTTTTCCATTTAAGTGAGACTGAGTGGCTAAGAATGACTTGAACCCAGAGCTTCTTCTTATCCACTACGCCATATTACCTCAAAAAATTGCTTTAACAGAAATTGAGGTGGGAAGTTTGGGAGTGAATATCTTGATGTCTCTTGGCCAAACTGAAGAGCCAGAGAAACATGATTTCACTACACAAGGGAACTGGAGACTGAAAACATATGAAAAACAGTTGCGGGAATTTGGCATGTCTGGCTTAATGGAAAGAAGGACTGGGGTGACATGATAGTGGTGTTCCAATATCTCCGGGATTTCCATAAAAAAGACAGGTTCAACCTATTTTCCAAAGCACCTGAAGGCAAGGCAAGAAGCAATGGATGGAAATTAATCAAGGAGAGAAGCAACCTAGAACTAAGGAATTTCTTGGCACAACAATTAATCAGTGGAAGAGCTTGCCTTCAAAAAATGTGGATGCTCAAACACTTAAGATATTGGACAACCTATTTGTCCAGAATGGTCTGAGGGCAGAGGTATGGACTAGACACTAGAAGATCTCCAAGATACCTTCCAACTGTTACTCTGTTTGTTTTTCTGTTGTAAGAGGGACGATAAGGCAAGTGCTGTTGCAGGCAGTTTTTCAGAAGAGGCATATTAGAAGGAGTGTAAGCAATGAGAAGAACATTCTAGATCCAGCATGAGAAGCTTTAAGCCTCCCCGATTTATCGCCTGTACTCTAATGAGATTCAATCCTAAACAGATTTTATTCCATTTACACTCCCTTCTTCCCCATGAATGCAGACTAAAGTGCAGATAGTTCTTGACTTATGACCATGCCTGATTTTATAAACTTTTCCCATGGTTGTTCCATGGCTATTCAAGGAGTAACTAGCACCTTGTTTAGCAGTGGAAATTATGGTCCCCATGTAATAAGTTGAGGACTCCTTGTTCATGTATGTAATTACATTACTCGTGGTACACATTCATAAAAAAACACCCAACAAAGCTTTCTTTTATTTCTTGAGTAGCCATGTACAGGTAGTTCTTGACTTATGACAATTGAAGCCAAAATTCCTATTGCTAAGTGGGACAGTTGTTAAATGAATTTTGACCCATTTTAAGTTACTACTGGTAACATGGTTAGTAACTTAATTTTCTCATTGACTTTGCTTGTCAGGTCGCAAAAGGGGATCATATGATCCTGGGACACTGCAACCGTCATAAATATGAGTCAGTTGCCAAGTTTTTGAATTTTGATACCGTGACTATGGGGGATGCTGCTTTATAAGTGTGAAAGTTTATAAGTTTGAGGTTATAAGTGTGAAAAATGGTCCCAAGTCTTTTTTTTCAGTGCCATCATAACTTCAAATGGACACTAAACAAAGTGTTGTAAGTCGAGGACTACCTGTATACAGTAACTGATTGTGTGCACTGAAATATAGCTCTGTCTTTGTGTAGTTACTGTTAGGTATGTAAGTTTACTTTGCTGAAAACAACACCTATTTATCTGAATGAAAAGCTGTTAGTTTGAAAATATAGAAAGGGAGCTATTTCTTGGTTACTGATATTTTTCCATGTGGGTCTAATAGGATGACAGGAAACAATTTAACCTGGTGTATAATTCCTTCCTTCCTTCCTTCCTTCCTTCCTTCCTTCCTTCCTTCCTTCCTCACTCCCTCACTCCCTCCCTTCCATCCTTCCTAGAATTAAATCCTAAAGTACTATTTGAAACATACTTCAGTAGCTTTTTAGTGACCAACACATCAGTGACAAAGATGGCCTGTCTATCTGTCTGTCCATCTTTCCCCATTCATAGGGTTTTTTTAAAAAAAAATTCCCAGCACCCACGCTTATCTTGAGCCTGACACCATCTGAATAAAGTTGAGCTGTTAAAGGAGGCTAGGAGGATTGAGAGGGCGGAGGGCAGATAGGCCAGTGATGTCTAAAGCTGATTTTCTTTGTGCTAAGGAGCTTGGAGAAACTGTGATCGTTGCAACCAAAATAGTCTCTCCCTTTATATGTGTGATATCCGCGTTGGTGTATTCATGACCATTAGGAGAGGCAAGGAGCAGGTTCAAAGGTCCATCCCAAGCAGCCTATATAAGGTATTCTGGTCATCTGCCCTTCCACTAGCTCAGTGGAGGCAAGAGAGAAAGGCTAATTCTAGCAGCATTGGTGAAGCAGTGTTAGGAAGTGAGCATCCAACCAAACCATGGGAAATAAGAAGAGCGGAATGATCTCTAAGGAGATCCTTGATGATCTGAAAATGAACACAAAGTACTCTGAGGACGAGCTGGTCAAATGGTATGACGCCTTCAAAAAACAATGCCCCGATGGACGCATCGGTAAAGCTGACTTTGAAAAGATCTATGCCAATTTCTTCCCCAACTCGGACCCCAAGGTCTACGCTCGGCATGTCTTCCGAAGCTTTGACACCAATGATGATGGGACTCTTGACTTCCGGGAGTACATCATCGCACTGCATCTGACCTCATCTGGCAAGACTGACCTTAAGCTGGAATGGGCTTTCTCGCTTTTCGATGTAGACCGCAGTGGAGAGATAAGCAAGAATGAAGTTCTCGAAATCATTGCCGTGAGTGCTGAGAACATTCAGGGAAGTGGAGGTGGTGCTCTGTGGAAGGGACAGGGAGTTGGGACTTGGGGACAACCCTTAAGGGTTGGACATTAACCAATCTGTGATGAAAATGTCTTCTTGCAAATACAGATAGTCCTAGACTTACAACAGTTCTCTTAGTGACCGTTCAAAGTTACAACAGCACTGAAAAAATGACTTATGACCATTTTTCAGTTATGACTGTTGCAGCATCCCCATGGTCATGTGATTTACATTCGGATGCTTGACAACTGACTTACAACGGTTGCAGTGTCCTGGGGTCATGGAATCTCTTTTTGCAAACTTCTGAGAAGCAAAGTCAAGGGAGAAAACCAGATTCACTTAACAAATGTGTTACTAATTTAACAACTGCAGTGATCCACTTAACAAATGTGGCAAGAAGAGTTGTAAAGTGGGGCAAAACTCACTTAACAAATTTTTCACTTTGCAACAAATTTTGGGCTCAGTTGTGGTCGTAAGTCAAGGACTATCTGTAATACAGTGATAACTGTGGGTATTCATGCTTAATGGTTTTGGTGAGGAAAGCTTGTGGAAAAAGTTTATTTCTTTCCTGTTACTGTCTGATCCCTCTGAAATTCGCATCATTTCCCCTTGAATTACATTCTTTAGAATAAGCCTCCTTTTGTAGATGGAAACTTGTAAAATCCAATTCTTTCCATTCAAGTATGTGGTCCTGTTCAACTTAACTGGATCTCCGGTCTCATCCTGCCTGGACCAACTCAAGCCATACAAATTGCCATCCTTATAAGAAGCTGGGTCATTGCTAAAATAAAGACAGTTGTAATCATCGAGAGGGAATAATGGCTAATGGTTGTGTGACTTTCTCAATCCATTTCTAGGTGGTAAATTAATGGATTACGTAGGCTAATACTTGTCTCCTGCACCCAAATGGATTAGCCTGTCCCAAATGCGGAGAGGTGAAACTATTGGGCTTATTTAATAGGATGAGCACAATTCTTACAATAGAAATAGTTCTGAATCCACTCATAATTTTCCCTCTTGGGTGTCAACCATCTTCTGCTGACTCCTTTCTGAGAAAAAAGGTTCGTTTGTTTTTTTTAAAGAAAAAGAAATTCATTTTAATTCTACTTTTCCAGTTTCTAGATTCCCTCCCAGTTGTGCACCACAAACCACAGAAGGACAAAGCAATCAAAGATTAATGTTGAACCTAAGACTCGGATTCTCTCCACAGAGTTTTTGTGAAGTCCTTTCAATTTTGTTATTCCACCCAGAAGAGTAAATTCCTGAGACTTTGAGAAGATAAAGGCATGAAAAATACATAGACTATGTTGGTTTTTCAGATCAGGCAAAGACCTAATTATTTCTACTATTATTTTTCATAGAGGGGAGAAACAATGAGAACAGAGGGTAAATTAAAAAATAGACCAATATATGGGAAAATTGCTATATAGTTAGTCCTCATTTAGCAACCGCAATTGGGACCAGTAACTCAATTATTTAGCAAAATGGTCATTAAGTGAAACTACAACTGTGCTTATGATCTTATTTCAGCTATTCTTTGCTTTTACTGACCTGTAAAAGTCATACATGTGAAGACTTGTCGCAGTTATTTTTTCAGCAGCATTGCAATCGTGAATGGTTGATATATGAGGCAGTTGCTAAATAAGGACTGCCTATATTTGTCCTATTTTAAACATGCTATATTGTTTATTTATTCTTAAAGAAGAGGAATTATATTTCCTGGCTTTGGTAATCTCTGCAACAAATTGATGAAATAAATTACAAATATTTCCATTACACACTTGGGACAGAGAGACTAACTACAAAGGAACATTACATGATCAAAGTTATTGTATCAAATCCTAAATGGAACTGAGATTTATATTAATTCGCAGAATCATATTTTGGATCCAATGTTCTTCTGGGGTAGTTTTAAAAGATATAAATTGGAAAAAACTAACTATATAGCTCCATCAACCTTCCTGGAGCCAAGGCTAAACTGCATTAAAATAACACATTCTAGAATGATTTTCACTTAAGGAAGCGGGGTACTAAGTAGAATTAATATACAAGTCTAGTTTCTTCCAAGTTGTGAGAATTTTCTACTTCAAGGAAAAAGTTTTGTACATATTATTTCAGAGTGTGTATAGCTGTACTCCCCAGTGCTAAACTGAAATACAAGACACTGATGTTATGACCTAGTTGGATAATGAAATGCCTGTAAGAAATCAACCAACCTTAGAGAGCACCATCATTTAATCCAAACCTAAGGCCTTGTATCAATAGAATATTTGAGCTACAAAATACTTTTTCCCATCAATACAAAGCCTTAGCTAGTCTTCTAATGGGCTTTCTCATTTGAGATTGCAATTCCCAATCATTTGATTTAGGGCAGGCTGGCTGAGGAATTCAGGGAATTGAAGTCCACAAGTCTTAAAGTTGCCAAGTTGGAGACCCCTGATTTAGGACACAGAGAAAATTCCAACAAACTCCATGCTAAAATTACTTGAACACTTTGTTTCATCTCCTTCTGTTGAAGCTCAGCTGCAGCCTGATATAGAAGTAATCCTGAAACTAAATTCTTCAAGTCAATAACAGATTCTTTTAAAATATTTTTTGTATTTTGTATGTTTCCTTCCAGTCCATATTAACCCCTGCCCAGATTAGCCCGTTTTCTTAGCCACACTTTTCGGAAACAGTTTGCAATATGCCTTCTTCCTAGGGCTGCGATAGGGGGACTGGCCCAAAGTCACCCAGTTCGCTTCGTGCCTCAAGGGCAGGACTAGAATTCATGGTCTCCTGATTGCCCAATGCTGGCCCTCAAACTAGTTGTTACCATAGTTCTCACAACAAATTATATTTATGGGCACCCCCATTCTTCTTTCTATCAACGCCGTGCATCTCAGACAAAGCAAGAATTCTTCAAGAACAATTTTATATTCATTCATAAATCCTTATATTTATTTACTTTACAGCAAACATTTTACTTTCTGTAGATGTCTATTACCTGAAGGGAATGTGCTGTTCATATCACTTTTAAAGTGGGTTGTCTTTTTTCTGCTCAGCTTAGCCAGTGGTTTTTGATCACAATGATTATATCCAATTGGCAGATACACGGGATGCTAAACTAATAACAAATTAAGATGTCCATTTTGTTCTTCCACTCAGAATATTTTTTCAGTGCATAATGTGACGACCCAGGATGGATACAAAACAAACACAGTCACAGAAAACAGGTGAAGCCCCTTTTATTCCTTCACTTTGCTTCCAAGCTCTGAATATTCTTGACAGAAGCCAAAAAACTCCCACACAAACAGTTACAAGAAGAAGGGAAAAAGCAACACAAACCAGGCAAGATAAGGGCTGGAGGAGATCCACAGATAACACACACTGGGAAGGACGCCAAACTCAGAGAGAAACCATAAACTAGAGATATTTCCACACTTTGTTTCCAGCATTCGCCTGTACGCAGGTCCGTACTCTTATTCAGTTGTCACAGCTGCAGCCCATGAAGAGGATCAAGGCCCTCTCCTCCCGAGTAGACTATAACTCTCCCTTATCCTCTCCTCCCTGCGTGTCCTAGGATGGATAGGGGATGGGCCTGGGTCCTCCTCTGACTGCCCAGCCGGCCTCCGCCCTTCCCCAGCCTCCTCCACAACCTCCGGAGCCACACTTCCACTCCGTCGGCTGTTCCTCCTCTCCCTCAGTCAGTCTTCGCCAGGGGCATGAGACATATGCTCACCTGCCTATATATACATGTATGTTTTAAGCTAGGCTTGTTTTGATCAGTTCTTAGATGGGTTACAAGGTAGAACAAAAACTTTTTTTAAAAAAAGAGTAAACATTAAACCATAATCAATAAAAACAAATGCTAAAACAATGGTGTTAGAAAACCTGAAAAAATAAATAAGCTTTGAGAAGTATATTAAGGATACTCTCAACTTCAGAAACAATTTATTCAGCAATGGGAAAAGCCAAATTAATTGCTGAGATTAAAAGTATCTGTAGCAGGATCTGCAAAAGATGCCCCATAAATGCTCTAATACAGGGGTGGGGAACAATGGCTCTTTTATGATTTGTGCACTTCAACTCGCAGAATTCCTGAGCCAATCACATTGGCTCAGGAATTCTGGGAGTTGAAGTCCACCACAAGTCATAAAGGGGCCATCGTTCCTCACCCCTGCTTAATGGGGCAGAGCAGACCGTCTGGGAGATGGTGATTTTGAAATTCGCTTTCCTTTTCCTTTTTTCAAACAAGTATGTTGAATCAGTGACTTCTTCAAAAATTCTTCAGTTAAAATGCAACTCTTAGTCACAATCGCATTTAAGGGAAATCTGGAAGGAAAAGTTTGGGAGAGCAATAACAGACCACAAGCTCTGAAATTTGGAAGTGCCTCTGTCCAATATTTTCTTCTTAGGAATCTTCAGAAAGCCTGAAAAATTTCAAGGAACATTTATGTGAAAACAGGGAGAAAGAGGAGGTCAAACAGTAAGAAAGGAACCAAAGATTTTCACTGTTCTGTATATATTTGTTAAACTGCTTAAACTCAGTTTAGTAAGACAGCAGAGCCAATCACAACTGAGAACAAAGTATTCTCTTAAGATATATAGGTAGTTCTCAACTTATGACTAGTGACTTAGTGACAATTCAAAGTTACAATGAATCCCCCCCCCCCGGGTATTTATGTCCTAGTTCTGTAGTTCTGACAGCTGGATCCCCCTCCAGTCACATGACCACACTTTGGGTGCTAAATAATTAAATTTATTTGCCTCTTTTTTGTTGTGTGGCTACTGTAGGTGGCTTACAATAATAAAATTATTACAGCTGTTTGTAGCATTTCCCCCTCATCATGTGACTAGGTTTTATGAATATTTAGCCCATACTTCCATTTTTGGGCAAAACCTGCCCACAGTGAACCATTGTTTTGCTTAGTGTGGCATTCACTTCATGATCATGGTGTTTGCTTAATGATTGCCACAAAAAAGGTCATTAAAATTGGTCAGTGATGTGGATGATCCGTTTTATGGCCATCAAGACTTAGGGCTATGATGGGCAGGCTCTATTACTTGTACTGCTTTTAAAATAGCCCTGTATTGTTCCATTTTATAGATGAAACATTACGCTGTGCAGTAGTTAATCTCTAAAGCTCTGCACATTTATCACCCGCTTGTTTGAATCCAAGTTTTATTTCATTTTAATGTGATGTATTACATCAGGCTAATGCTGTACACTAGTTTATTAATATGCAGGGCTGTGCATTGTGCGTGTGTATAATGCACTTCAAAAATTCCCAATTTTCTAAAGCCAAAGTTCACATTATGTAACCAGAACAAAACTAGTTTTTAATCAATTAGGCATCTTTTTCATAGGCAGGATTTACAACTTTTGGATCTCATTAGGAACAGATTGGTGTCACCTGCCAGTGGAAATTGTTATCACATCTTCAGGTAGTCTTCTAAAAAGTTGTAAGCACTAGGAATTTGGTTTTGAAGAATGAAAATAAGATCAAAGCAATTAATCACCCTTAACTAGAAATGTCTTGCCTCCTTGGTGTTAAAAGGAATACATTCTACATAGAGGCTGTAGTTTATCCCAAATAAATGTATATGCGGTTTGTGGCAGACTACATATATGTCCTGTGTACATATTTAGAACACTTCAAGCAACGAAGAAATTCAAAAGAGAGCCAGGCTGTGGAATCCTGGAATTGAAGTCCACATGTTTTACAGTTCCCAAGATTGGGAAACACTGCATTAAACTTGTATAGTGCCATGATTAAGGTCCTTAACTAGAAACTAGTAATTTTTATTCTCCCTTAGTTAAAGAAACCAGATAGGTATCTTTGGCCCAACTGCTTTCTTCTCAGCCCAACCCTCCTCACAGTGTTGCTGTTGGAGAGGTTGGTGTCAGCCCTTACAGACAAACCAAATCATGAAGTCCCCCACAAGATTAATATGACTTTTATTGAGAGTGGCTATAATAAAAGAATCTTAAGTTTTACCCCCCTCCTTTACTTTCAGTGAATTAGGGAGGTGTCCATCTGAACCTCTTCAGAATATTATCAGTTTGTTGTGGATTTAAAAGCTGTTTTGCCCATTGTCAACAGAACTGGCATAATTCTATCATCTCCCTCAAGGTCATTTTCCTGCACCTTCACCAGCAGGCATTTAATAAGCAGAAATAAAAGGCGTAACGGCATAGAAATGTGTGAAGAAAACAACTTGATCTGCTTAATTTGTATGTGTCAAGCTGTAATTCAAAGCACAGAAAGGAGGACAAATACAAAGTTTTAAATTTAGCAACTCTATCAGAACAAATTAGAGGGAGTGAGAAAGAAAGAACTGTGGGGGGTGCTTGTGTGCAAACGTGGAAAAAACCTATTTATCTTTTGTATGGTAGGACTGCTTCATCAAAGACACAGGATTAGGTTCAATAGGCTTTACAAAACACCAGAGCAAATACGTAAGCAGCCCAGCAGATTTTGTGCTGGCAATGGCAGACGGGAATTCTAAAAAGATGCACTATTTTGCAGGGAAATTGCATGTAAAGAATCTTAAGTCTCCATCAGAGAAGGGTTTACAAGTTCAGTCTAGGATAAACTGAAATAAGATTGGATAAGAACTCAGGTGACCTCAAGATGGGCAGCCAAGTCGTAATCGGATATTATTGAGCTCTTGTTTTTGCTTATATGACAATGGTCTTTTAATGTTCCCCAGATGTGTTCTTAGTAAATCAAGAAAATTCCCCAGAACTGGCATGGTCAGATGGGCATTTCAGGAATTCTGCTCCCAACATTCTTGGAGGAGGATGAGCTACGAAAGGCTCTCAATAAAGCTTATAAGATGAGGCATTAACATTTAGGTTTTTAGAATATCAGCCATTAGAGGGACCTCCATGCTTAACAGGCCTTCCAGTGAGATATAACTAAGTAAGATCCTAAGCAGATGTGCTCCATCTTTTGATTGAAATTGTCTTATGGACGAGCAGCAGAAAAACAGGGGCATCACAGATGGCTGGGCATCAGATATTTTAGAATTCTACCGTCTACCAGGATTAACAATGATGAATGATGATGGGAGATGTAATCCAACACTACTGCCTGTCATGACCGCATCATATAAAAACCAGATATTGATAACTGGTGGCAAGAGAAAAGTTTCAGTGAACCAGCCCTAACTGATCAATCTCCGTCAACATCAAGATTCAGTTTGGAAGATGAAAAGGTGTTGTTGAACAGGCTAAACCATATCATGCTTTTGGGATACAGAATCCATATTTCATGCTCTTCAGCATAGAAATAATTGCCAAAACTTACATCTATAATGTAATTAGAGAACTTGCAGTTTTGCTGGCTGAGAATTATGAGAGTTGCAGACCCATGCATATAAAAGGTATCAAGTTGAAAAGGTCTGCCATAAGTAAAAATATACAGATAAGTCTCCGTGGATTCATTGATGCTCTTCTACCTCAAGCATATGATATCTGAACTATTTGCCATCTAGTGAACATCTGGATTTTTGCAGCCCAGATATGGTACATTTACTAGAGTCCTTATCAGTTGCTCCAGGTATCTTATGCAAGGATTTAGAATATCAAGAAGCTTAGCTGTATAGAAAGAATGACTATGGTTTCATTATTAAATACACAGGTGAGCTAGATTTAGTAGTATTAAATGAGAAGCAAGAGACCTAAAGTTCTCCAGAAGTTGGCCATCCTATCTTGAACTAATGAGAACTATAGGCCAATACTATAGGCCAATACAGTTTTCCTAACTCAACTGAAAAGTGCTACATCTTCGAGTCCTCTGGGTGTTTTTTTGAATGGGTGACCAACCAAGAACTCGCAAAGTATTCTGGAAACTCAACATAGTAGAATAAGGCAATGGCAAACCACTTCCAAGTCATGCCAATTAAACCACTAAAAGCTACAGCTGACTCAAAGGCATCAGTTTTTAAACAATGTGGTGCAGTAATTATGCTAAATGTGCATGAAAAAATTCCCAGTTTGAATCCCAGTTTCAAATCTCACTGCAGGAGCTGGGAAATTCTTACTCCTGTGCACAAAACTGATGACATAGGAATACAAAGCCAGCACCTCCTTCCCAGAGTTTGCTATGTCTGGGTTGCAAACAAGAGCATGGGGAAATAAATGTGATTTAAAAAAAAAACTTTCCCTTGTACTTTGTCTATGCTTGTAAACCATCATTTTCCTGTAGTCACTCAATCTCTCCTCCTTTTTCCACCTTGCCTTTTACCTTCCTTTGCCCTCGTATTTACTTGTCCTTTTAGATGATTCCCCAAGCTTTACAGTTTCTAAACAAGGCAGATATTTTCAAACCTACTGTTCTGATTACATTCAGAAACCTTATCCATGGGGTCCCTAGGTGTTTAGAGAATATGGGCCAATGGAGGACCAGGTGCCAGGGATTAGATGCTGAGGATAAGGGCTCCTGGATCTTCAACAACTCTGACAAGTAGGCCATCCATTGCTGAGAGTCAGTTGCTCCAAATATCCTATGCAAAGATTTAGAATATCAGGAAGCTTAGCTGTAGAGAAAGACTGACTATAATTTTTGTTTCCATTTATCCTGCCAGGCAATATTTAAGATGATTCCTCCAGAAGAACAGAAAGCCCTGCCTGACGATGAAAACACCCCCCAGAAACGGGCTGACAAGATGTGGGCATTTTTTGGCAAGGGAGATGCTGGTAAATTTGCCTTTCATCTCCTATCCAGACTACGTATTGTTATTAGTTGTATAACATTACATATAACACAATGCATATTTGTTCTATAATAGTTTTGACTATTTTGTCTTTAAAAACTGAGGGAGTGACAACCCAAAGCCACTCAGTGGTTGAAGAGTAGACTACAACCCGTGTCTTCTTCTCATAATCCAAACTTTTGATGGGAGCAGGAGAAGGTGGTCTCCTTGAGTACCTGTTTTCGGTAACAAGGAGTGCCTTTGATTAATGTTTCTAGCAACAAGCAAATTTCCCACATGGAAAGTGGATTCTGATCAGAACCAATTCAGGCTAACTAGAAGCAATGTCTGTGCAAAAGATTAAACTCAAATGATCTGACAATTCATTCTGCGGCAAACATACCTCCTGAAAATGCAATTAGGCACTAATAAATAAAAATATTACGGGATATGAATGGTTACATATAGTTACTGAGCATGCTATCTAGATACTTAATGACTCAAATTATTTTGGCTGATTTCTTCAATTAAAAACATTAAAAACCCAACATGCTTGAACCATATATAAAGTAATATTTTTTTTTCCTTTTAAGGGTCTCTCACCTTTTATCTGTGGGAGACCTCTCTCTCTCTCTCTCTCACCTTGTCATAAATTTCCAGGGTTGTGCAATAAAAACCTATTCTGGCCTATCAGGAAATTATGGATAGTCAAGAATTAGCTCTCATATTATATGTAACCACTTGGTTGCTTAATCACAGTTAAACCACAGTTAAGCATATAAATTTAATAAATAAAAATAGTCAACATAGCTCCAACCATCTTTTTAAAATTTGACCTACTTTTGAGTTTCATTTAATATGTGCATAACATGGAATGAAAAAGGGTGACGGGAGGAGAGTTCTCCATTCGGAAAGCTTAACTATTTTTATACTTTTTCCCAAGATTACACAGCCTTTCTCCAAGACAGCAATCATTATGAGAGCTACACCAGCATCTGGGCTGCAGGAATCTGAAAGACCAGTACATACCATAGCAGGATGGAGAAAGAAGCAAAGAGATATTTTGCTATCATCTAGTGGCTATCTGAAATTTTGCAGCCCAGATATGATAGCTCTATTGTAGTTTCATAATCACAAATGTTCACAAATTAATACAGGAATGTTTGTAACATTCATTCCAAATGATGTTGTCAAAATCTTCCACTTTCTGTTGCACACTCAATTACCTCTTGCTCTGTACTGATTTAAAATCCAGGATCTATTTTTTTAAAAAAATAGGAAACAATCTGGGCTTAAAAGCATTTAAATAATTTGTATGACGTATCTCTTAACCTCTACTTGTTACCAATGAACCCAATGATTCCTTCCTTATATTTTTGGGGGGAGGGGAATTATAGCAATAGTACTTAGACTTATATGCCACTTCAGTGCTTTACAGCCCTCTCTAAGCAGTTTAGAGTCAGCATATTGTCCCCAACAATCTGGGTCCTCATTTTATCCACCTCAGAAGACTGGGTTAACCTTGAATCTGATGAGATTCAACTGCCAAATTGCAAGCAGCCAGCAGGCAGCAGAAATAGCTTACAGTACTGCATTCTAACCACTGTGCCACTGCAGCTCATGACCCTGTAGTCCCTTTAACTTGGGGTGGGTTCATGGTGACTGGGTAGAGCTGAGCATTTACTGGCTGGATGCCTTCCTGATACTTAAATGGAGTCCGCAGCAGATATTTTCTGTTTGTGAGAGAATAAACATTTGCTGCTACCTAGGATCAAACTCTCAACCTTCCAAGTGGGAGACGAGTCTTCACCACTAGGCCATTGCCCCGCTCCGTTCCTTATATTTCATGTTACCTAAATAATTTAATTGTACGCATTGGTTTTGTTTTTGCAGACAAAATTGCTGAAAAGGAGTTCATTGAGGGAGTAATGAAGAATGAAGCAATAATGGGCCTCATCCAGTATACCCCCAAGGAAAATAAATAAGAGCTTCCAAGTTGGACAGGAAGCAAAAAGGCAGGGATGTGAAAAAGCGGCATGCAATGAACAGCTAGGGGGAATTCAATACATGTTTCTATTTGTGTATCATATGAAAGACAAAATACAACTCCAAAAGAGTGTTCCTTTTTTCTTCTTCTAGTACCATTACTAGTTCGGTTAGCAGTCGCAGTCAACCCATATTTAATCTTGCAGTTTCTAGAATTTTTCAAAGAAGGATGGAAAGCAGTTTTGGAAACTGTGACCCTGAGTTGTATTATTTGTAGAAAGAAAGAAAATAGCAATATGATAAACTGCAGGACTGAGATCTCTTCATTCCAGAAATCACCTGAAAAGTCCAGTATCTGTAGGGTGCTTGGTGCTCTCTGAGGTTGGTGGTCTTCTCGCAGATATTTCATTACCAAACTAGGTAACATCACATTTATGGCAGAAGGGAGCGGGATTTGCAAATGTTCAACCACAAGTTACAAATATTCTATTAGTCCACTATCTGCTAACCTATTTTAAAACTCAAATACAACAAGTGAAACATTTCCCTTCTGTAATACATAAATAGCATTTATAAGCTAAAGATCATAGGTCTTAACTTGCTACATTCGGTGCTCCATTCTCCATTTCTTGTGACTTCAGAGCCCACACTTACCAATGAAGTCCCTAGCTGCCATTTTTCAAACAGCAAATACAGAAGCACATTATATTGGAGGGTTGAAATCATATACAGGTAAACCTCAACTTACAATTCATCTAGCAAGTATTCAGAGTTTCAATGGCACTGAAAAAAGTGACTTATGACAGGTCCTTGCACTTACAACCATCACAGCATCCCCAGGATCACGTGATCAAAATTCGGACACACATGGTAACTGACATGGACTTATGACAGCTGCAGTGTCCTGAGATCACGTGAACACCATTTGAGACCTTCTCAGTTGCAAAGTCAATGAGGGAAGCCAGATTCACTTAACGACTGCGAGATTAATTGCAGTGATTCACAACTGTACCAAAAAAAAGGTCATAAAATCAAGCGTGACTACCTTAAGAATAATTTTATTTAGCAATGGAAATTCTGTTGTGATCATTAAGTCAAGAACTACCTGCAAAACCAGACCACATTGATCCACCCTTAAATGCTACCGGTCCCAACTGACAGCTAAGCTGCAAAATATGTTTCCTGAAAAGTAAGTAGCATTCGCACCAATGGGATTCACCTTCTAAATTCTGATATATTTCTTTGGATCGATATTTTTGCACATGTGAAATATTTATCAGCATAGGCAACCTTCTCTCCTAAAGATTAATTTTCTTTTCCTCTTCCTTCCCAACGGTGCATTTAAAACGTGCACTGACAATCTTCCCTCCAGCTTTATTTAGCAGAACAGGTAGCCTGGATATACCCATCATTCTGGAGATATTTATGCACTTCTGTTTCCTTCCCCTTCATTTCTCACATTGGCATTATTTCTTGTTTATTTAAGAAATGGATTACTTCTCAGGGGTGGGTGTAGAGCTTTAATGTAATAAAATAGGACACATTCAAAATCGATGTGTGTTTTTCAATAAAGGCTGCCGAGTTGAAAGTAATATTCACCAAGGAGAATATTCACAAATCAACTGACAGTGGATATTTGGTAGCTGCAAGGTATCTCAACAGTGGGCTGCCTATCACAGAATATTTAATAGTGCTGCACCATGCTCACTTCTAGGGAACAATGCAAATTATGTTATTATAGAATCACGCCATAAGCTACTCAATAAAATTGTATGATGGCTTCTTAGGACAATTTACCTCAACTGAGTGCCCTCTAGATATCTTGGACTGCACCCCATCCTCTGGCAAAGGGCTGGCTGAAGACGAAGGACTCCTTGTGTCAAACATGTGGAAAACAGCCAGTTGAGGGGGAAAAGGCTTGGAGCAATGATATCCAACCTTGGCAACTTTAGGACTTGTTGACTTCAGTTCCCAGAGTTCCCCAGCCAGCATGTTATGCCCATGACTGACTGGGGAATTCTAGGAGTTGAATTCCACAAGTCTTAATGTTGCCATGGTTGGATACTCCTGATTTAGTGCCTTTCTCCACTTTAATCTCACCATGGCACAAACGTAACCCAGTAATGCCTTTTTTCCCTCCTGTTTCTTGATGACATTGCCTCCCCCTCATCTCTAGCCCACGACTGAGACAACTCTGCTTAGCTGTCCTGGCATTAAGACACTCAATGTACAACCATTCATTTAGAGACTGCCTGAAGTTACAACAGCAGTGAAAAAAGTGACTTATGACAATTTTTCACTCTTATGACTGTTGCATCATCCCCATGGTCATGTGATTTACATTTGGATGCTTGACAACTGACTCACGTTTATGATGGTTGCTGTGTTATGGGATCCCCTTTTGTGACCTTCTGACAAGCAAAGTCAGTGGGGAAGCCAAATTCACTTAACAGCTGTGTGACTAACAACTGCAGCGATTCACTTAACAAAATCTGGCAAGAAGTCGTAAAATGGGGCAAAACTCACCCAACAAATTTCTCACGCAATATAAATTCTGGGCTCAATGGTAGTCGTAAGTCAAAGATTACCTACATTCCCCCACCCCCAGCCTCTTCTAACATTGTCCAAGGACAGCATCAAGGGGATAAAATCTGTCAGGATTGATCACGTCTTGTGAAAGGCAGCCCAGCAGGCTGTGTTGATTGCAAAGAGAGAGTGCATGGGCCAACATGGAAGGACCTAATGCAACTATTTTCAGTTGCAACTGCAGGCATTTGGATGTTGTATTTCCTCAGAACATAAACATCTATTTTGATTGAGGGGGGGGGGGCTTCACCCAGCTTGGGAGCTCTAACCCTAACCCTTTAAACTGGGCTACCCAGTGAGCCCAAACACCACAAATGGATTAGTTTCCATTCTTCATCAGCAAAGACCCACAAGATCTCAACGTTCTGCTTCTCCTTGCTTTAAATGCCATTCACACTCAAGAATGTTACTATCCTAACTACCACTGGATCACTCACACAACCAATCTGAGTTTGATCTGCAACAGCAACATCAGAAGCCACCAAAATTTAGCAGGCAAAGCTTTTCCAGATCTAAAGAAGTTAAAGGTAGTTTTGCCTTATTTTCACCAGCTTAATTTTATATTTTAAATTTGTCAGAGTATGCCCTATTTTAATTGTGACGCTTCTGACATAAATAAACAAACCAGCTTAGCTCATGGTTGTTTCCTTGCAGTTGCAAATACCAGATGTGGGCAGGTTTTTTTTGGTTTTAGTTTCTTCCAGCTGAAGGATCTAGAAGAAGTAAAACTTTCAACATGGAGAGAGCCAACTCCTTTTATTTTTATTTTCCCTTTGCCCTTGAAGGACTGAGTTTATGCTGTTTGCTAACCTAATTTGGGCCTTTCTAAAGCTTTATGTTGTCCTCACACAAGGAAGATTTCATAGGTAAGGCAGGAATTAGTAAGCAGGCTTGTCCCATCTTCCTCCAATGAATTTTAAATGTAAGCAACTTAAGAGCTGATCCGCACTAATCTGCCTGTGCGTAGTAAATATGGTTGTAAGGAGCTTGTTGTGGTCAGATAAGGTTGAGAGAAAACACAAAGCCAATCCTTTCCACTCTGAAATTCCACCTCACCAGCACTCCTACCACTCCTCCTTCCTCCATCTTGCATATGCCCAAAGACACCTCTTTAAAAAAAACTGAGAAAGAATTAATACAATAAAACTTCTTCATCCCTTTCTTTGACCATATGCACCACCTGGTGGAAAGACTAAAAATGGAACATAAGCGTTTGCCCTAAAAGAGCGCACAAACAATGGGCGTTTCATTTCCAAAATATGGCAAACAAGATTCAAATCTACCCAGAATTCATTTCAATTTATTTCATCCTTTGTGGTCTCAAAGGTACATGAATGAATTCAAGGGGCACGTTCCAGGCTCAAAGCACCTTCCATTGAAATTGGATTAAACCTACGGAAAACAGCAGTTAAAAATCTTGAATTAGGACTGGAGAGAGAAACTCATTAAGAGGATCTTGGGTAAGCCTAGACTACTTTGCAGGCTTAGAAGATCATTTATGACCTTTGGACTTCAATTCCCAGAATTCCTTAGCCAGCTATGCACAAGAATTCTGGGAGCTAAAAGTACATAGGTTGTAAAAAGGCCGTAGTCGCCCACCTGTTAGATAATAGTAAGTATATACATTTGTAGGGCCATGAAGAGCGTTTGGTTTTGAGCACCACTAGTATATGGCCTTGAGTAGGCCTCAGAAAGCAGGAGATAAATCTCAGGTTCTAGGTTCATTAAATGGTGGGGAGGGGGGAATTAAAAGAGATATTTTGTTATTGGGAGGTGCAGAAAGAAAATTGCAGATCCTGAACTCAAGATTTAGAGGCTTGGTTTTGGTAATCCAGAGAAAGGGCCTAAAAGCAAGGAGCTAGGATTAAAGGGGAGAACATTTGAATGGGAGCAAACAAATCATGGTCTTTGGCCTAAAATTCATCTAAAAAGCCATCAGGAAGTAGTTTCAGACACCACCACCCCCCTTTATTTACTTTTGCGTTTGCCCATGTCACTAGGAGAAAAGCAAACAAGTATCTGACAGATGCTGGGGAAAGAAACAAAATGACTTCCAAGGGAATGGCAGAGAACAAGGAAGATGAACTTATTAGAAATATGCAACAACCATTACCTCATTCATTGAATGAATGAAGGTCTCCCTAAATTCTCTTGAGATACAAGAAGCAGGAGGTATAGTACAATCATACTGGGAAGATCGTTATTATAGTCAATCAGAGCAGTTTTAGCCTTCCTATGGAGTGGATTTCTTAATCTGATCCATCTAATTGGGGATTGACAGAAATGCAACCCTACAAGGCAAAGAATCCCATCCCCTAATTTATACCCATAGTGTTTTTATGGTCTGTCAACATCCCCTCCCTCCCTGCCTATCAAGTGGGACAACTATTGCTCTGACCATGCATAGTAGGGCAGACCATATATGCACAGGCACATTCATGCGTAGGTGAGACTCATGGACAGAAGGATAAGCTAAGTCCGTATTACTTTGCAATGTTTTCTACCTACACCAATAGGAGATGGACGCGGGCTAGCTG